CCAGAGACCCCAACTGGCCAAGAACACCGAGGCTGCCTTCCAGGAGACAGATTTCTGCGATTGGACGGCGCGCCGATCCCAGTAGGTGGTCCAGGTCGACCACCTGCAGGCGTCGTGTCTAGGTTGGCACGGCGCTGGGAAGGCGCGATGCCGAAGCTCCCGTGTGCTAAGCTGCAGAATCATACTAATGTCTGTTAAATTATGTCAATTCCATCATGCAGGCTTTCTATTGTGGAGCGGTGCACTCACGGCGCAGCCACTCTCCTGCTTTGGAAGGCTCCAGGCCGGCATGACAGTTCTGACCAGCCGTGGCAACATTATGATACCGCAGTGCCTGCGTTTTCAGATGCTCTTTCGGGGGTGGCACAATCTGCATACCCAGCAAGACGCTGCAGAGTTTCTTAGGCATCTCACAGAATGCGCAGATCCGTCCGTCCTTCAGGGTTGTTGGGAAAGCAGGCTTGAGAATCCGCATGCAGTCCCGGACACAGGCGATCTACGTTGCCCGCTAATGCTGCACTTCCCGGGTGCAGGACTGCATGCCATGATCAAGAAGTGGCACGAACAGTATGCCGTGCACGCCATAGTCAAACATGCAGGTATGGTTATTTTACGACTGTGTCGGTACTCGGGCATGGCTAAAAACCGCGCACCGCTGCCGATCAACGCAGGAGAGCTTGTGCAGCTGCCGGTGTTCACTGAGCCTCAGGGCGTAGCAGTGAAGTGGGAGTCCTTCAGCGTGATTTGGGTTGTGTTTCATGTCGGGCCAACGGTCACACAAGGTCACTATCAAGCTGCCCTCTGCATGCCGAGCAATGATCTCCCTGATAGAGAGTGGTCCTACTGGGTTTGTAATGATGGCAAGTCTCCCCAAGTGCCCACTAAACGTGACAAAACTCATCTACATAAGGATGCCTATCTAGTTGGACCCCTGCACAGTGCCAGCCCTGCTGAATAATAGCCGTCGAGGCCAGGCTGCATTCTGCACAGGCCGCAGCAGCCTGGCCAACTGCCCAGTAATTAGTCAAAGCGTTTGTGCGTCGCCATCTGCCGAAGAGCACCGGTGATCAAGTTCCGTTTTGTTCCTCAAATGTCTATCTCTTGCCATTTCGTTGCATATGCTTCGTTTACAAGCTGAACCACATGCGCTCCCGCATTAAGCGCTCTACCGTATCCAGCAGGCTCAAGGTTACGGGTGGCCCAGGTCGGCCATCTGTTTGTGCCTAGGTCGGCACTGACCGTGGTAGACAGTTGCTGTCTCAGAGCACCAGCCAGTCCCCGGCTCAGCACTGTGTGCCACAGAATGAGCTCTGAAAGCTCCTGCACTTGGACAGCAGTATCGGTCCAGGACCTAGGTCGGTCCGTCTAGGTACCCAGGTCGGTGCCGCGGCATGCCATGGCGCAAAGCCTTAACCTGCCTGCTATGCGGAAGCCCTTGAAGACTTCCTGCTGCTCTCCTGCTTTCTGGAACTGTGTAGCATGCCCCGCGCTATGCTGCACTCGGGACTGGGCATGGCCTCCAGAAACGAAATTGTGCACACAGCCGGGCAGTTGCTGGACGCTACATCGAGAAAGCAGTTTGTGAGCTACTCCCATCGTTTATCGCTGGCCATAACACCGCGCCCACCTGCACTCCTACCTCCACCCGGAATTTCACCCTCGGAGCGTCGCAGTAGTGCCGAGATATTGGCGTATAATATTCTCGCCACGGGCGGTGGCACCCTTTGGGAGGCGGCAAGGCAGGTTGCGCTCCTGCTCTCATATGAGCCTCCGCGCCAGCAGATGATGCGGGATGACCCGGATGCAGCCAGCTTTCACTTGGGCATCTTCGCCAGACAGGGACTGGTTGGGATCTGCAAGCAGACTCCTATGCATCCAAATGTGTGTTGCTTGTTCTGCTTTCTACTCTAGCATCTGGCGCCCAACTTTCGTTTTACGTCCATAGCTTTGAACAAGAACTACGCGGCGCCGGCGCATCGGGATCTGCAAAATGGGCCGGAGGACAACCTCATTTTCTCTCTCAGCCTGCAATTAAGATGGAGGAGGCCTTTGGTTGGAGAACCAGCAAGATGAACCAGGAGTTGTCTATCAAGAAGTCCAGGGTAGTCTCTTGAGGGGAGCAAACTATTCACTGCAGGATCAGGTAGTGCTTTTTCCTGCACACAAGAGGTTCCATGTCACGGAACCATGGGCCGAGTTTGATCGCTATGTCATTGTTGCGTACACGGTGCGTAACTGGCCCAGGCTTGCATCCCCAGCCTGTGATATGCTGGCAAATCTCGGCTTTGATCTGCCGGACCGAGATCCCGCGGCGAGCGGAGGAGTACCGCCCCTGCTTCCACCCAGGATTGGCTGAATGGCGTATAGAGCACATATGGCTCGGCAGCAAATGCCTGCATCGCATCAGTCAGTAGAGTAGGGTCTGTTCAGGTTTTTGGTGGCGTCCTAGGCCCCCCTTCTCCCTCCCGTAGTTTGGTCTTGCATCGGAAGGAAATCAAGCCGAGCTCGTGGTGCATGCCAAGGTAATCACACGTAACATGTTAGGGTGCGCGCAGAAAAGGATTGCCGACTGCTGCATCAGTTGCTGTCGCCGGTCACAGCGTCTACTGGCCAGTCCCCGCGTACTCACCAGCTCAGGTCTACATGGCGGATGAGGCGCGTGACGTTACAGAGGCTTCCTCCTCAGGACAGGCCCCCTTCTTGGTGGGTGGCCAACAGGCATCCACTGCTGTCTACGGCAGAGATCGCGCACTCGGCTCCGGCCGGATCAGGATCAGGACCTTGGCCAGGGTCACAGCCTCAGTCAGTAAGGCGCAATCAGTGTATCACGCCGAACTGTCGCCGACTTTTTCCAGAGCTGGATGATCGTCATTGCTGCTCCCGCTGTCCCTTCGGGTCACATACACGTCGCTGTGAACGGAACCAGAGAGACTATCTTCGGCAGAGCATCACTACTTGCAGGGTGTCGGGCTGCTGGAGACAGGCTGGATACTCACACACAGTTTGTTGCTCGGAGTGTCGTCGCAGTCGAGGCAGGCGTCACTCAAGCGGCTGTTATGATAGGCAGCACAATGGTGACAATGGTGTTGAGGAATCTTTTGACACCACTGCTCCCTCGGGCTCGGTGGGATCAGAGGGTCCTCAGGTTGGTACATCTACTCTACAGACGGGCAATACCTGTTCGGGTGGATATAGCATGCCTTCATCTCATGCTGCATCGGCCAGAGGAGTGACATCAAGCGATTTTGTGGTGGCTGTGCAAGTGGACTCGGATTCGGAGTCACCAGCTGTAGAGGCAAGTCGTTCATGCATCAATGCCGGTTCTTCG